ACTCCCAGAAATCCCAGCCAGTTTACCGGCTGTTAGGATTTCTGTGAGTTGAAGGCCAAAACATCTGGGGACCCACAGGTTGAGAACCACTGGTCTAGACATTATGTCCATCTTGATGCAACCTAGAATTGTCTCAAATTCATTTTGGCACAACCAAATGGTGTTGCTGGGCGTAGCATTGGGCAATGCAACCTTGGGTTGCGCTTTGCAGCGACATGAGACCATTAAAAAGCTATTAATGTGGGTACCTACCAGGACATGCCCTTTGACAACCCCCTTTATTAATAAAACAAGAACTGAATTGATGTCTGGGTCAGTTCCTACTATAAAAAGTGCCTTTCTTGGGCATCTGGGGAGCTATAATTGCCAAAAGGAACCTTTCCAAGGTCTGGGAGGACAAGAAAGAGAAGAAACTAAGTGGTTGCCATGCAAGATTTGTATGGTTTTCACTGCAAGCTGGAAAATTGTAAAATGAGAGGATCCAACAGGTGCTTTGAATGGATTTGGGAGGCAAGGCTATTTGTGAGTGTCCTGCCCCATTGTGCATTATTATTATTATTATTATTATTATTATTATTATTATTATTATTATATACGTAACAAGATTAGTTAGTTCATAGCAAACAAAATCACTATGCTGGCTTTTGTATTTGATCACAGGTCAGATACTTCCCAAATGTCTAGGACTGTGGCGAAAAATGAATCATAGAATCATAGAAGAGACCTCCTGGGCCATCCAGTCCAACCCCATTCTGCCAAGAAGCAGGAATATTGCATTCAAATCACCCGACAGATGGCCATCCAGCCTCTGTTTAAAAGCTTCCAAAGAAGGAGCCTCCACCACACTCCGGGGCAGAGAGTTCCACTGCTGAACGGCTCTCACAGTCAGGAAGTTCTTCCTCATGTTCAGATGGAATCTCCTCTTTTGTAGTTTGAAGCCATTGTTTCACGTCCTAGTCTCCAGGGAAGCAGAAAACAAGCTTGCTCCCTCCTCCCTGTGCCTTCCTCTCACATATTTATACATGGCTATCATATCTCCTCTCAGCCTTCTCTTCTTCAGGCTAAACATGCCCAGCTCCTTAAGCGCTCCTCATAGGGCTTGTTCTCCAGACCTTGATCATTTTAGTCGCCCTCCTCTGGACACATTCCAGCTTGTCAATATCTCTCTTGAATTGTGGTGCCCAGAATTGGACACAATATTCCAGGTGTGGTCTAACCAAAGCAGAATAGAGGGGTAGCATGACTTCCCTGGATCTAGACACTAGTCTCCTATTGATGTAGGCCAAAATTGGCTTTTTTTGCCACCACAGGACATTGTTGGCTCATGTTTAACTTTTTGTCCACAAGGACTCCAAGATCTTTTTCACACGTACTGCTCTCGAGCCAGGCATTGTCCCCCATTCTGTATCTTTGCATTTCGTTTTTCCTGCCTAAGTGGAGTATCTTGCATTTGTCACTGTTGAACTTCATTTTGTTAGTTTTGGCCCATCTCTCTAATCTGTCAAGATCGTTTTGAATTCTGCTCCTGTCCTCTGGAGTATTGGCTATCCCTCCCAATTTGGTGTCGTCTGCAAACTTGATGATCCTGCCTTCTAGCCCTTCATCTACGTCATTAATAAAGATGTTGAACAGGACCGGGCCCAGGACGGAACCCTGCTGGCACTCCACTTGTCACTTCTTTCCAAGATGAAGAGGAAGCATTGGTGAGCACTCTCTGTGTTCGTCCATTTAACCAATTCCAAATCCACCTCACCGTAGTTTTGCCTAGCCCACATTGGACTAATTTCCTTGCCAGAAGGTCATGGGGGACCTTGTCGAAGGCCTTACTGAAATCCAGGTACCAGGCCCGTAGCCAGGATTTCGTTTCAAGAGAGGCAGGTAACTTGCACAGTGGTTAGGCATGGGGGGGGGGGGCTGATTTTTTTTCAGGGGGGTTTTTGGGGGGGCTGAGTTTGGGGGGGCTGAGTCTGAGTGAAAGAGGGTCTAGCCTAGCAAACCTTTTGTATCATTACCCCAACACCCCCATGCATATTATATACGATCAGATCATGATATGAATCAGCAATAATATGAATATGAATAATATATCACCAGTAAGGCCTTTTCGAATAACATGAAAGTTTCGGGGGGGGGGGGGGCGAAGCCCCCGAAAAAAATTCAGCCCCCCCCCCCCCCCGAAACGAAATCCTGGCTACATGCCTGCCAGGTACGCTACATCCATGGCATTCCCCGCATCTACCCAGCTTGTAACTCTATCGAAAAGAGATCAGATTAGTCTGGCATGACTTGCTTTTGATAAATCCATGTTCTCCTTTGAGGTTAAACCCTTTCTTATTCAGGAGGGTTTCAAAGAAGGTTTTTAAGATTAATTCAGGGGCTGTGGTGGCTTTTATTTAGAATTTCATTTTATGGATTTTAAGTGATGTTTAAAATACCAATGATATTTAATTCTGTTTTAACGTTTGTATATTTCAAATTGTATAGAAATGCTTTTAATGTAAACCACTTTGAGTCTCCTTGTGGAGATAAAAAGCAGGGTATAAATAAACATAATAATTATTATTGTTATTACTAGGTTGTTGTGAGTTTTTTGGGCTGTATGGCCATGTTCCAGAAGCATTCTCTGGAAGAAACTATGAAAATGAACAAAATCTGGCTACCAGTATTAAAAACCCTAAAATCATAACAGCAAGAACAACACACAAACACAGGGGAACTCCAGACAAGAAACAATCAGGGACAGCTAATCACCCCTCAACAAAGGATTCCCCCAGGCAGTAGAAATTTCAGTTAGTCCAACGGGCGGCGGCCAGGATGTTAACTGGTGCTCCTTACAGGGAGAGGTCAACCCGCCTGTTCAAGGAGCTCCATTGGCTGCCATTCATTTTCCGGTCTCAATTCAAGGTGCAGGTGCTTACCTACAAAGCCCTAAACGGTTTGGGACCCACCTACCTGCGTGACCGCATTTCCTTATACAAACCCACATGATCCCTTCGTTCATCTGGTGAGGCCCTGCTCACGATCCCACCAGCTTGGTGGGGATGAGGGACAGGGCCTTCTCGGTGGTGGCCCCACGACTCTGGAATTCCCTCCCCAAGGACATCAGGCACTCCCCAACACGGCCAGTCTTCAGAAGGAGCTTGAAAACATGGATGTTCCACTGTGCCTTCCCAGATTAAGGAATCCCAAACAATTGTCCCTAATGCACTTTATGAGAAAGTTAGAATTGTCTGCACACCCTTCTATTCCCAAAATATCCATTCTACCTCACCTGGACATGCCCAGCATTTTTAGAATTTTAACTACTACGTTTGGCCCCGCCACAGGTTTTTAACAGTGTCGTGCTTTTGTTACTGTTTTATTGTTTGCTTATTTATTGTTGCATTGTATTGTTGTCTGTTGTGTTTTTGTTAATGATGTACTTTGGGCTCGGCCTCTTGTAAGCCGCACCGAGTCCTGCGGGAGATGGTAGCAGGGTACAAATAAAGGTTTATTTATTATTATTTTTCTCCCACCCTGGGCATTTCACAGATACATAAACTCTGGGTTGTTGTAGGTTTTTCCAGGCTGTATGGCCATGTTCTAGAGGCATTTTCTCCTGACATTTCGCCTGCATCTATGGCAAGCATCCTCATAGGTAGTGAGGTCTGTTGGAACTAGGAAAAAGGGTTTATATATCTGTGGAATGACCAGGGTGGGACAAAGGACTCTTGTCTGCTGGAGCTAGGTGTGAATGTTTCAACTGACCACCTTGATTAGCATTTAATGGCTTGGAAGTGCCTGGGGGGAATCTTTTGTTGAGAGTGATTTGATGTGCCTGATTGTTTACTCTCTGTTGTTTTGCTGTTGTAATTTTTGAGTTTTTTTAATACTGGTAGCCAGATTTTGTTCATTTTCATGGTTTCTTCCTTTCTGTTGAAATTGTCCACATGCTTCTTGTCCATTTTCCTACTTCCAACAAACCTCACTATCTCTGAGGATGCTTGCCATAGATGCAGACGAAATGTCAGGAGAAAATGCCTCTAGAACATGGCCATATAGCCTGGAAAAACCTACAACAACCCTGCAATTCCGGCCATGAAAGCCTTTGACAATACATTTACATAAACTCTATTTTCCTAGTTTCTAAACCTCTGAGAATGCCTGCCACAGATGCAGGCGAAACGTCAGAAGAGAATGCTTCTGGATATGGACAGACAACCCAAAAAACTCACAGCAACCAAGTAATTCCAGCCACGAAAGCCTTTGACAAGACATTATTATTTTGAATTTGTTTTCATGGATTTTAAGTGAATGCTTAAAATACCAATGATATTTAATTCTGTTTTAACACAAGGTGAGTCCACAGCAAACAAGATCACTCTGCTGGCTGTTGTACTGAATCACACGTCGGACCCTTCCCAAGTGTCTAAGACTGTGTGATGTATCGGCGAATAATGCGTGCAGATCCCAGTAAGGTGGCCTTTTGCAGCTGGCAGATGGTAATTTTGTCAGCCCACTGTGTTTAAGTGTAGGCCAAGGTCTTTAGGCACTGCACCCAGTGTGCCAGTCACTACTGGGACCACCTTGACTGGCTTGTGCCAGAGTCTTTGCAGTTCGATAATTATTATTATAATAATTATTATTATCCTAATTTCTCTTGACCGAAGCCTAATGCTGCTACCAAATGGGCCAAGCAGACTACCAGGTTCAGACTATGCTCACGCAAAGGAACGATATTGATGTCTCACAACATCCTTTGAAAAATAACACACCCTCAGACCAGATCATTAATGCTCAAGGGTTAGCAGTTGTCTTTAGCAAGGGTTAGCAGTTCCAAAGCGCCCCACATGGGGACAAAGTAGGCAGCACAAAGGGAAGGAAGAGAAGGCGGCGGCGGCGTTGATCTCCTCTTCATGGGCGGAGAAATCCAATCCACACAGACAGCCAGAGCTAGGAAAAGAAAGTGCCGCCCAAGACGTCCATCAAAACTGGCACCCCAAATAATTGAGGGGGAAAGAGGAAACAGTAGAGTCGGTGGCAGGGAGGCGCCTGGCTTCTCTCACATGAACATGTCGTCGTAGTTGGGAGGCGGAAGGTGGTCCGGATTAGGCCTGAAAGGAAAATACGGAAGACATAGAATCAAAGAGTTGGAAGAGACCTCCTGGGCCATCCAGTCCAACCCCATTCTGCCAAGAAGCAGGAATATTGCATTCAAATCACCCCTGACAGATGGCCATCCAGCCTCTGTTTAAAAGATTCCAAGAAGGAGCCTCCACCACACTCCGGGGCAGAGAGTTCCACTGCTGAACGGCTCTCACAGTCAGGAAGTTCTTCCTCATGTTCAGATGGAATCTCCTCTTGTAGTTTGAAGCCATTGTTCGAGTCCTAGTCTCCAGGGAAGCAGAAAACAAGCTTGCTCCCTCCTCCCTGTGGCTTCCTCTCACATATTTATACATGGCTATCATATCTCCTCTCAGCCTTCTCTTATTCAGGCTAAACATGCCCAGCTCCTTAAGCCGCTCCTCATAGGGCATATGGAGTGCCACTTTCCATATTAAGTAAGCCTAGAATTAACAAACCTATACCCATTGCTTTCACACACAGACAACAAGAGCTCCATCTCCTACAATCCCCAAAACCAGTAAAAATGAGTTGGTATGAGTCTCATATTGGGAAATAAGGCAGGATATTAAAACAGGGCTGGGCTAATAATAATAATAAACTTTATTTATACCCCGCCACCATCTCCTCAAAGGGGACTCGGGGTGGCTGACATGAGGCCAAGCCTAAAATAACAATACAATAAAACAAAGGAACAAAATAGCATCAAAATAAACACAATCATCATTGGTGGTCACAGCAGTCTCAGGAAGAGAGTGAAGGTACTGCAGGTCCCATTGTCCATGGCTCATCCTCCTCCAAACCGCATCAGGATGTAATAATAATAATAATAATAATAATTGTGCAGGTACAACTGTACCAGGAGCTCCAATTTTGTTTGCTTTGCACTGAATGTTTGTTGTAGTCCTAAGTTTCAGGAACTCTGCAGATAGGTGGCTTCTTTTGGCTGCAATCATAGGGCAAGCCACCTGTCAATTATAGTTAGGTTCCCTGGTCCCGCCCCCTTTTTGGGTTTTTGGAGGGAATAGGAGCCTTTTTGAGTTCAGTCCACACAGAGCAGCTTTCCATACAGGACATGAAACCAAGAGCTCCTGTAGAAAGCTTCATCTTCTATGGCTTGGCCGGGGAGATACAGCCCTATAGCTTGGCCGAGGATCATACAGCCTTACAGCTCCTTTGCTGAGGGACTTGTCAGCCATCACCGAAACCTGAACTCCTTTCCCTCTGGAAGTCTACAAAGCTCTGCTTGGTAAGGGTCGCTCGCGGAAGCCAGACACAGTTGGTACCAGGTGCAGGGGCTCCACGCCAACAGAGGCAAAGACAGACTGCCCAGATTAGAAGTTAAGGATTTTCCCATTAGTTAAAATACCAGTCATGAAGATAGTGCCTGTTCCCTGTGGACAAGATTGAGAGAGCCAATAGACTGTTAAGAAAGCTTTAAAGTACCTGTTTGTTTTCATAATAAAGAACTTTGTTGAACCTTTAAGCAATCTAAAGACTTTGTTTTGGGGAGGTCCAAGGGCCTTTAATCTGAGGCAGCCCCGGCATCCTGTTGGGCACACAGAATTTATGTCCTGTCTACAGTCTTACGCACAGGCCCACCGTGCGGCAGCACAATAACCTTTATTTATATCCCGTCACCATCTCTCCAAAGTGGACTTGGGGCGGCTGACATGAGGCCAGGCCCAGAATTACAGTACAAGAAAATAAAATAAAGTTATTTATTATTTTACTCTTCTTCTTCGAATCATAGAATCGGAAGAGACCTCATGGGCCATCCAGTCCAACCCCATTCTGCCAAGAAGCAGGAATATTGCATTCAAATCACCCCTGACAGATGGCCATCCAGCCTGTTTAAAAGCTTCCAAAGAAGGAGCCTCCACCACACTACTACTACTACTACTACTTCTTATTGCATTTATTATTTTATTATTACGTTTAAATTATTTTATTTCATTATTCTTTTTATTACATTTATTATTTCACTCTATTATTAGAAGGATACGTAAGCACATTTATATTGAAGAAGGTGAGAATAATGGTTTAAACAGAGTTGGACAGTTTTACCTTAAATTACAGTTGGATGTAAACATTCAAAAACATTTAAAGTACTGATGCCTCAATTAATGTAATGTTATTGGTAACTATTTTTATTTTGAAATTTACTAGTAGCTGCTGCAATGAAAGGTGCATGTGTGCTGTGTTATGTACATATAAGTATATATATATAATAATAATAGTAGTAATAGCGGGACGCAGGGAGCATACAACGCCCTTGTTGTCCCAGCTTCACTGGCTGCCGATTTGCTACCGGGCCCAATTTAAGGTGCTGGTATTATCCTACAAAGCCCTAAACGGTTCCGGCCCAAGATACCTTTTCGACCGCATCTCAGCCTATGAACCCACCAGGACTTTGAGATCTTCCGGGGAGGCCCTGCTCTCGATCCCGCCTGCCTCACAGGCACGTTGGCGGGGACGAGAGAGAGGGCCTTCTCAGTGGTGGCCCCCCGGCTGTGGAACGCCCTCCCTGTTGACATCAGACAGGCGCCCTCCCTTATGGCTTTCCGTAAGAGCCTAAAGACCTGGCTATTCGAGAAGGCATTTAATTGAGAGCTACACGAACTTGGTAATGACAACTGGAACGGATTATGGATTATGAGACTGGCTATGATTCTATGTTGTGACGGTGCGGATTTGTTAGGGTGATTTATAGTAATGTGTAATATGGTGTTGTTGATATATTGTGTGCTTTTTGTAGACTGTTTTTATATGTTGTACACCGCCGCGAGTCGCCCCAGGCTGAGAGCGGCGGTCAAAAAATGAAGTAAATAAATAAATAAATAAATAAAATAGTAATAATAATAATAATATTAGGATAAAATGCCTCTAGACCATGGCCATATAGCCCGGAAAAACCTACAACAACCCAGTGACTCCGGCCATGAAAGCCTTCGACAATACATAATAATAATAATAATAATAATAATAATAATAATTATTATTATTATTATTATTATTATTATTATACCCCGCTTAAAGCAGCCTAACCTAAAAGCATTATCATGCCATTTAAAATATACCAATATGCAAACAAACAGGATTAAATATAAACAGTATTAAAAGAAATCACAATTAAAAACCATTAAAATATTTTCAAACTTAAATGTATAGGTTTAACGAAAAGAACCACCCCTTTTGGACCCAAAGCAAAGGGAAAGAAAAGGCAAAAAGCAGACCGGCAGGTGCTAGGCAAAGAATAGGCTGTGGCCAGGTGAAGTGGCCCTCCTTGATGTCACTATGCTAGGTGACATGTGTACGAGAGGGGGAGGGAGGGAGCAAGGAAGGCCTGTTATGTGCATGCAAGTATTCCAAAGTCTGAAATCCAAGCCAGTTCTTGTCATGTATCATGTACTGCAGTTGATGGTGGTAGGTCTAGGGTTAATGTAAGTCTTAGTTCTGAAGGGTTGAGTAATCTGTAAGTAAGAGTTCATGGGTGAAAGAAATTAAGGGTGGAGGTATGCAAGAGATAGGCTGCAACTGGGCATTTCTGGATATAATGAGCTGGCCTTGGGACTGATCTTTGAGAGAAAAGTATTTGTCTTATTTTGGTGGTAGATGCTGCTGGTTTTTCCCCAGGTTTGTGGATTTTCGGTATCCTGACCTGTCTCTTGAACCCTTCGAACCCTGGAACCTTGAATTTTTGGGACTGGCTTTTGACTACTGTATAGAATCATAGAATCAAAGTGTTGGAAGAGACCTCCTGGGCCATCCAGTCCAACCCCATTCTGCCAAGAAGCAGGAATATTGCATTCAAATCACCCCTGACAGATGGCCATCCAGCCTCTGTTTAAAAGCTTCCAAAGAAGGAGCCTCCACCACACTCCGGGCAGAGAGTTCCACTGCTGAACGGCTCTCACAGTCAGGAAGTTCTTCCTCATGTTCAGATGGAATCTCCTCTCTTGTAGTTTGAAGCCATTGTTCCGCGTCCTAGTCTCCAAGGAAGCAGAAAACAAGCTTGCTTCCTCCTCCCTGTGGCTTCCTCTCACGTATTTATACATGGCTATCATATCTCCTCTCAGCCTTCTCTTCTTCAGGCTAAACATGCCCAGCTCCTTAAGCCGCTCCTCATAGGGCTTGTTCTCCAGACCCTTGATCATTTTAGTCCCTCTCCTCTGGACACATTCCAGCTTGTCAATATCTCTCTTGAATTGTGGTGCCCAGAAGTGGACACAATATTCCAGGTGTGGTCTAACCAAAGCGGAATAGAGGGGTAGCATGACCCCTGGAATATTGTGTCCAATTCTGGGCACCACAATTCAAGAGAGATATTGACAAGCTGGAAAGTGTCCAGAGGAGAGCGACTAAAATGATAAAAGGTCTGGAGAACAAGCCCTATGAGGAGCGGCTTAAGGAGCTGGGCATGTTTAGCCTGAAGAAGAGAAGGCTAGATCTAGACACTATGCTCCTATTGATGCAGGCCAAAATCCCATTGGCTTTTTTTGCCGCCACATCACATGTTGGCTCATGTTTAACTTGTTGTCCACGAGGACTCCAAGATCTTTTTCACACGTACTGCTCTCAAGCCAGGCGTCCCCCATTCTGTATCTTTGCATTTCGTTTTTCCTGCCAAAGTGGAGTATCTTGCATTTGTCCCTGTTGAACTTCATTTTGTTAGTTTTGGCCCATCATCTCTCTAATCTGTCAAGATCGTTTTGAATCCTGCTCCTGTCCTCTGGAGTATTGGCTATCCCTCCCAATTTGGTGTCGTCTGCAAACTTGATGATCCTGCCTTCTAACCCTTCCTCTAAGTCATTAATAAAGATGTTGAACAGGACCGGGCCCAGGACGGAACCCTGCAACTTGAACTCTGGACTTTGCTCACTGAACTCTAGGCATTTGACCACTGGACTGGACCTTTTGACTACAGTGTTATCTTGAACCCGCAACAATGTTTGCTGTCAGTTTTATTTTATATTCTGTGGCTGAGTGCTATCTTTATGTTTTGGACTATTAAAACAGCCAGAAAGTAAGTGCTGCTTTAATTAAATTGTTTAATACAAACTAGGAGTTTGTTTGGTTCATCTCCACCTGAATAAGGCAGAGCCCTGGCATCGTGACAGTTCTCATCCTGAGCATTTTAGGTAACAGATACTCAACTTGTTACTAATATCCTGATATCGGTTCCTGATACTTACCCGCTTCGGTTGGCTCCTGGGGGCCCAAAGGGGTCAAATCGGGCACCGGGGGGAACGGATCCAGGAGGCAGCCTAGTTGGAAGTCCGGAAGATGGATCTATTCCAGGATTCCGATATCCCGATCGAAGCGGATCGAAGATCATTCCCCCGCTTCGGCCCCTGAGCAAAAACAAAAAGGAATTATGAAACCTGGAGAGACTCAGGCCGGTTCCTTGACACAGACTCACACTTGATCCTCCAGCTAACTCAGGCATGGGCCAACTTGGGCCCTCCAGATGTTTTGGACTCCAACTCCCACCATTCCTAACAGCCTCAGGCTGAAAAGGAAGGGGCCTGAGGCTGTTAGGAATGGTGGGAGTTGGAGTCCAAAACACCTGGAGGGAGGCCCAAGTTGGCCCATATCTGCTCTACAGGAACTACGTAGAGGGTGCATCTACACTGTACAATTAGTGCAGTTTGATGCCACTTTAACTGCCATGGCTCACGGCTAAGGAATCATGGAAGTTGTAAGTGCAATAACTCCACAATGTAGATGCACCCAGAGGCATTGGCTTCTCAAGAAAAGTTATTTAGATGTAATGAAAAACCTACCCAAAAGGGTCCAGGTCTTCTCCTCCAACAGCAAATGGTCCCATGGGGTCTTGCCTGAAAAGGAAGACATATTTGAGTTTCGAAAGACCATTTGAAGAGTCTGCAGAACGCTGGTTTTCAAAAATTTGTTGCAGGTTGAGTATCCCTTATCCGAAGTGCTTTGGGACTGGAAGTAAATTTCGGATTTTGAAATACCTATACACTATGCACACACAGATGTACCTGTTGAGATATATGGGAGATGGGACCCAGGTCGAAACGTGAAATTTATTTATGGGTTGTTGTAGATTTTTTGGGCTCTATGGCCATGTTTAACAGTGAATGAAGTTTAACAGTGACAAATGCAAGATACTCCACTTTGGCAGGAAAAACGAAATGCAAAGATACAGAATGGGGGACAATGCCTGGCTCGAGAGCAGTACTTGTGAAAAAGATCTTGGAGTCCTCGTGGACAACAAGTTAAACATGAGCCAGGAATGTGATGTGGCGGCAAAAAAAGCCAATGGGATTTTGGCCTGCATCAATAGGAGCATAGTGTCTAGATCTAGGGAAGTCATGCTCCCCATGCTCTATTCCACTTTGGTTAGACCACACCTGGAATATTGTGTCCAATTCTGGGCACCACAATTCAAGAGAGATATTGACAAGCTGGAATGTGTCCAGAGGAGGTGACTAAAATGATCAAGGTCTGGAGAACAAGCCCTATGAGGAGCGGCTTAAGGAGCTGGGCATGTTTAGCCTGAAGAAGAGAAGGCTGAGAGGAGATATGATAGCCATGTATAAATATGTGAGAGGAAGCCACAGGGAGGATGAGCAAGCTTGTTTTCTGCTTCCTTGGAGACTAGGACGCAATGGAACAATGGCTTCAAACTACAAGAGAGGAGATTCCATCTGAACATGAGGAAGAACTTCCTGACTGTGAGAGCCGTTCAGCAGTGGAACTCTCTGCCCCGGAGTGTGGTGGAGGCTCCTTCTTTGGAAGCTTTTAAACAGAGGCTGGATGGCCATCTGTCAGGGGTGATTTGAATGCAATATCCCTGCTTCTTGGCAGAATGGGGTTGGACTGGATGGCCCACCAGGTCTCTTCCAACGCTTTGATTCTATGATTCTATGAGTGGTTCTCAACCTGTGGGTCCCCAGATGTTTTGGCCTTCAACTTCCAGAAATCCTAACAGCTGGTAAACTGGCTGGGATTTCTGGGAGTTGTAGGCCAAAACACCTGGGGACCAACAGGTTGAGGACCACTGTTCTAGAAGCATTCTCTCCTGACGTTTCTATGGGAGGCATCCTCAGGGTATGTAAAGTCAGTCAGCCATGGAAGCCCACTGGGTGAACTTCAGCAGGGCATACTCTCTCAGCTTCAGAAGAAAGCAGACACGGCCCCATTTTGGAGAAACCCTTTTGACGGGGCAGTTATACGAGGGTTGAATGAAAAGTAATGCCTCTACCTTTGTAACAGACCTCACTACCTCTGAGGATACTTGCCATAGATGCAGGCGCTTTGGAACATGGCCATATAGCCTGGAAAAAAACCCTACAACAACCCAGTGATTCTGGCCATGAAAGCCTTCGACAATAATTCTAGGCTGCATCCATCAGAATTTAGTATGAGGGTTGAATGAAAAGTAATGCCTCCACCTTCGTAACTCCTCAACAGATGGCAGTACTGGTATGCAGCAGGTACTGGCTTGTTCAGTAGATTCTCCTCTACAGTTCCATTTGGGAAGCCTTAGCATTGAACGGTTGTGTTGTTAAAGTGCAAAGTATGGAACCCTGCACAGACGGTTCAATGTGACTTAAGCAACGTGCAGTCATTGAATTCTTGACAGCAGAAGGTGTCACCCCAAAGGAGCAATATCGAATCATAGAATCAAAGAGTTGGAAGAGACCTCATGGGCCATCCAGTCCAACCCCCTGCCAAGAAGCAGGAATATTGCATTCAAATCACCCCTGACAAATGGCCATCCAGCCTCTGCTTAAAAGCTTCCAAAGAAGGAGCCTCCACCACACTCCGGGGCAGAGAGTTCCACTGCTGAACGGCTCTCACAGTCAGGAAGTTCTTCCTCATGTTCAGGTGGAATCTCCTCTCTTGTAGTTTGAAGCCATTGTTCCGCGTCCTAGTCTCCAAGGAAGCAGAAAACAAGCTTGCTCCCTCCTCCCTGTGGCTTCCTCTCACATATTTATACATGGCTATCATATCTCCTCTCAGCCTTCTCTTCTTCAGGCTAAACATGCCCAGTTCCCTAAGCCTCTCCTCATAGGGCTTGTTCTCCAGACCCTTGATCATTTTAGTCGCCCTCTGTTTATGGTGATTGTGTGATTGTGAGTAATGTGCGTCGTTGGGCGAGTAAGTTTAAAGATGTTGAGGTGGGAACATCTGACTTGCGTGACAAACAAAGAGTTGGACGTTCTGTGACAGCAACCACCGAGTTTCACAAGCAAAAGTTTGACAGATTATTCAGGGTATCACTCAGAAAGAAATTTCAAACATAATGGGCATTTCACAAGAACATGTGTGTCACATTATTGCTTTGCTTGGCTATCAGAAGATCTGTACATGATGGGTACCCAGAATGCTGACACCTGAAACTCACCCAACGATGCACAGTACTCACATCAACAATCACCATAAACAGCTTGCGTTCTCTGATGAATCTCCTTTGGGGTGACACCTTCTGCTGTCAAGAATTCCACGACTGCACGTTGCTTAAGCCACACTGACCGACTTGGCACTTTAACAACACAACCGTTCAATGCTAAGGCTTCCCACCAAAATGAAACTGTAGAGGAGAGTCTACTGAACAAGCCAGTACCTGCTGCATACCAGTACTGCCATCTGTTGAGAAGTTATGAAGGTGGAGGCATTACTTTTTCTGCTAAGGCTTCCTGTCAAAATGGAACTGTACAGGAGAGTCTACTGAACAAGCCAGTACCTGCCACATACCAGTACTACCATCTGTTAAGAAGTTACGAAGGTGGAGGCCTTACTTTTTCTGCTATGGCTTCCCGCCAAAATGGAACTGTAGAGGAGAGTCTACTGAACAAGCCAGTACCTGCTGCATACCAGTACTGCCATCTGTTGAGGAGTTACGAAGGTGGAGGCATTACTTTTCTTTCAACCCTCGTAGGATTGTAATGAGTTGGAAATGACTTACAATATGGTTGCGGAACTAAATGGAACCACATCAACAATATGATCTTGACGACGCTGCATTTTAGAATCTTCCCCTCTTCCGCTTCTATCTACTACTGTAAGGTCGTATTTGTTGCACTCTAGCCTTGAGACAACTTTTCACCCAGCAACACAGCAGAGCAGCTGAGGTGGAAAAGGAAGGGCCCTGAGGCTGTTGGGAATGCTGGGAGTTGAAGTCCAAAATACCTGGAGGTCCCAGGTTTGCCCACACCTGATCTAACCCTATTACTGTTGCTGACTATGAGGCATTCCTCACTCTTTGGTGCCCATACATATGACCCGATTCAGTGCCAACCTTTGAGGAGGAAGAGGCACGAAACAGAAGCACCTTCCAGCTGGTGAACTCACCAGTTGGGCTGCCGGCTGCCGTGGGGGTGCCGGGGTGGGATCCACAGCGGGTCGTGGTCCGGAGGGTTGGGAGGAGAGGGGTTCCTCTCCCTCTTGGGCTCCTTCTTGGGGCTGACGGGGTCTTTGGTCGCTGTCTCAAAGGGGGAGACGATGTGGTGGAGAATCCGCGCCTGCAGCTCCTCGGTGTTCTGGTAGACTCTGTTGGAATGAGATGGATGGAAAGGTGTCAAACTCTTGAGCCGTCCACCTGCTTCCGCAACTAAGAAATATAGGAATGGCCACCTATCTGTGAGGGAGACATACATGTTCAGACCACAAGCATCCCTTTGAAACTGTCAATATGAGCAAACATACCATACCGGCTGATAGGAATTGTGGGAGTTGAAGTCCAAAACACCTGGAGGGAGGGCCAAAGTTTGCCTATGCCTGAGACTGCATGCAATTCAACACTACTTTAAATGCCATAGCTCAATGCTATAGAATTCCGGGACTTGTATTATAGTGAGGCCTTGTAAAACCACAAATTTCCACAGCATTGGACCTGAAGTGATGCCAAACTGCATTAATTCTACAGTGTAGATGCACCAATAGAATTTCCAAGGAACGTCGTCCACTGCAGGCATTTGCAAAGTCTCCCAAGGTGACTCTATGGAGGAAGTATAACATAGAATTGACCGGAAGGCATTTCTAGCAGCCGTTTTCTCCCAAGCACAGGTAAGTGACACTGTGGATATGGATTTTGCAATTATAGGGTTTTTACTGTATTTGAAATACCATATTTACTTGTAATCAACTGTGCCGTAATATTAAAAACGTTTAGAGTAGGCTTTTCTCTTATATATATGAAATCTCGTTGGTCTGTTTTACATTTTTATTTATATTTATTTATATTATTATTACTAGCCGTTCCCTGCCACGCGTTGCTATGGCCCACATGAGGGTTCTGTGTGGGAGGTTTGGACCCATTCTATCGTTGGTGAGGTTCAAAATGCTCTGTGATTGTAGGTGAACTATAAATCCCAGCAACTACAACTCCCAAATGTCAAGGTCTATTTTCCCCCAAACTCCACCAGTGTTCACATTTGGGCATATTGAGTATTTGTGCCAAGTTTGATCCATCATTGTTTGAGTCCACAGTGATCTCTGGATGTAGGTGAACTACAACTCCCCAAACTCAAGGTCAATGCCCACCAAACCCTTCCAGTATTTTCTGTTGGTCATGGGAGAACTGTGTGCCAAGTTTGGTTCAATTCCATCGTTGGTGGGGTTCAGAATGCTCTGTGATTGTAGGTGAACTATAAATCCCAGCAACTACAACTCCCAAATGTCAAGATTCTATTTTCCCCAAACTCCACCAGTGTTCACATTTGGGCATATTGAGTATTCGTGTAGAGTTTGGTCCAGATCCATCATTGTTTGAGTCCACAGTGATCTCTGGATGTAGGTGAACTACAACTCCAAAACCAAAGGACACTGCCCACCAAACCCTTCCAGGATTTTCTGTTGGTCATGGGAGAACTGTGTGCCAAGTTTGGTTCAATTCCATCATTGGTGGGGTTCAGAATGCTCTTTGATTGTAGGTGAACTATAAATCCTAGCAACTACAACTCCCAAATGACAAAATCAATTTTTTGAGTGAAGGACATACATTGGGTTGTTAGGTGTCTTGTGTCCAAATTTGGTGTCAATTCGTCCAGTGGTTTTTGAGTTCTGTTAATCCCACAAACGAACATTACATTTTTATTTATATAGACTAGCCGTCCCCTGCCATGCGTTGCTGTGGCCCACATGGGGGTTCTTTGTGGGAGGTTTGGCCCAATATTGTTGGTGGGGTTCAGAATGCTCTTGATTGTAGGTGAACTATAAATCCCAGCAACTACAACTCCCAAATGTCAAGGTCTTTTCCCCAAACTCCACTAGTGTTCACATTTGGACATACTGAGTATTCTTGTAGTTTGGTCCAGATCCATCATTGTTTGAGCTCACAGTGATCTCTGGATGTAGGTGAACTACAACTCCACAACCAAAGAACACTGCCCACCAAATCCTTCCAGCATTTACTGTTGGTCATGGGAGAACTGTGTGCCAAGTTTGGTTCAATTCCATCGTTGGTGGGTTCAGAATGCTCTTTGATTGTAGGTGAACTATAAATCCCAGCAACTACAACTCCCAAATGTCAAATTCTATTTTCCCCAAACTCCACCAGTGTTCACATTTGGGCATATTGAGTATTCGTAAGTTTGGTCCAGATCCATCATTGTTTGAGTCCACCAGTGATCTCTGGATGTAGGTGAACTACAACTCCAAAACTCAAGGTCAATGCCCACCAAACCCTTCCAGTTTTTTCTGTTGGTCATGGGAGTTCTGTGTGCCAAGTTTGGTTCAATTCCATCGTTGGTGAGGTTCAGAATGCTCTTTCATTGTAGGTGAACTATAAATCCCAGCAAACAACAACTCCCAAATGACAAAATCAATTTTTTGAGTGAAGGACATACATTGGGTTGTTAGGTGTATGGTGTCCAAATTTGGTGTCAATTCGTCCAGTGGTTTTTGAGTTGTGTTAACCCCACAAACGAACATTACATTTTTATTTATATAGACTAGCCGTCCCCTGCCACACGTTGCTGTGGCCCACATGGGGGTTCTGTGTGGGAGGTTTGGCCCAATTCTATATCATTGGTGGGGTTCAGAATGCTCTTTGATTGTAAGTGAACTATAAATCCCAGCAACTACAACTCCCAAATGTCAAGGTCTATTTTCCCCAAACTCCACTAGTGTTCACATTTGGACATACTGAGTATTCTTGTAGTTTGGTCCAGATCCATCATTGTTTGAGTCCACAGTGATCTCTGGATGTAGGTGAACTACAACTCCACAACCAAAGAACACTGCCCACCAAATCCTTCCAGCATTTACTGTTGGTCATGGGAGAACTGTGTGCCAAGTTTGGTTCAATTCCATCGTTGGTGGAGTTCAGAATGCTCTTTGATTGTAGGTGAACTATAAATCCCAGCAACTACAACTCCCAAATGTCAAGATTGTATTTTCCCCAAACTCCACCAGTGTTCACATTTGGGCATATTGAGTATTCGTGTAGAGTTTGGTCCAGATCCATCATTGTTTGAGTCCACAGTGATCTCTGGATGTAGGTGAACTACAACTCCCAAACTCAAGGGTCAATGCTCACCAAACCCTTCTTGTGCTTTCTGTTGGTCATGGGAGTCCTGTTATGCTACGTTTGGTTCAATTCCATCGTTGGTGGGGTTCAGAATGCTCTTTGATTGTAGGTGAACTATAAATCCCAGCAACTACAACTCCCAAATGTCAAGATTCTATTTTCCCCAAACTCTACCAGTGTTCTCATTTGGACATATAGAGTATTCATGTAGAGTTTGGGCCAGATCCATCATTGTTTGAGTCCACACTGATCTCTGGATGTAGGTGAACTGCAACTCCCAAAGTCAAGGGCAATGCCCACCAAGTATTATTACATTTTTATTTATATTGATTATTATTATTATTATTATTATTATTATTATTATTATTATATATCCATAAATGAGATGCAAACCCTGGTCCCTTTCCCTCCGCAAATGCTGCAAGCTTGTACTTCCACAGCATGGGTAAACATTCCATTTTGGACTGCCAGTCCCATAATCCCCTACAATTAACACTATGCTCTTGCAAAAGAGCACAGGAAAGAAAACACTGCACACAAAACAAAAGAGAGAAGGAAAGCTGCAAGTCTGGAGAGCTCCACCTGGCCAAACCCTAACCTAGAAAATAGAAAGAAGGAACCCATTTCCCAATGTTGTCCAAGGCTGAGGTACAGCGAAGTGTGTCGTGTCCTGCTGTCCACTATGACAACGAAGAAGAGTCATGTTTTCCAACACAAAAGGCCATGAACGGGTCCAGTGACTCTTGGGACTGATCCTCGGCCAAGGAAAGGGAGTCCTAGCAGACTTTACTAGCAGGCTGCGTCGTGAAACTACATTTTTGGGCACTAAAATAACTTGGGTAGCGTCCATCGTAGCTCAGAGTAGCCAGAGCATTCTGTCCTCAAACTAATTGCCACTTACATTAAGAAAAAACCCTAAAGGTAATGTTTTAGTTCTCACTGTGAAACTAAAGGTATGCTTCCAGGGATCCGCATCTGCAGATGTTGTTCTATACTGCCATCCCTATTATAACAACAATAATAAATTGTGGGACTTTTAAACTAGCAGTAAGTTATGAAACATAGAAGGTTGATTGATTACTTAAAGGGAGTAGACTAGTTAGAAGAGCATTTCTCCATCTGGAGGTCAGGACCCCCCCAGGGGGGTGGTGGTCATGTGGGGGTATCAGAGGGGTTGCCAAAGACCATCAGAAAACACATTATTTACTGTTGGTCATGGGAGTTCTGTGTGCCAAGTTTGGTTCAATTCCATCATTGGTGGAGTTCAGGATGCCCTTTGACTGTAGGTGAGCTATAAATCCTAGCAACTACAACTCCCAAATGTCAATGTCTATTTTCCCCAAACTCCATCAACTCCAAAACTCAAGGTCAATACCCACCAAACCCTTTCAGTTTTTACTGTTGGTCATGGGAGTTCGGTGTGCCAAGTTTGGTTCAATTCCATCATTGGTGGAGTTTGGAATGTTCTGATTGTAGGTGAATCACAGCAACTACAACTCCCAAACGTCAAGGTGTATTTTCCCCAAACTCCATCAGTGATCACATTTGGGCATATTGAGTATTCATGCCAAGTTTGGTCTAGATCTAACATTGTTTGAGTCCACAGTGCTCTCTGGATGTAGGTGAACTACAACTCCAAAACTCAAGGTCAATGCCCGCCAAACCCTTCCAGTATTTTCTGCTGGTCGTGGGAGTTCTTTGTGCCAAGTTTGGTTCAATTCCATCATTGGTGGAGTTCAGAATGTTCTTTGATTGTAGGTGAGCTATAAATCCTAGCAACTACAACTCCCAAATGTCAATGTCTATTTCCCCCAAACTCCATCAACTCCAAAACTCAAGGTCAATACCCACCAAACCCTTTCAGTTTTTACTGTTGGTCATGGGAGTTCGGTGTACCAAGTTTGGTTCAATTCCATCATTGGTGGAGTTTGGAATGTTCTGATTGTAGGTGAATCACAGCAACTACAACTCCCAAACGTCAAGGTCTATTTTCCCCAAACTCCATCAGTGTTCACATTTGTGCATATTGAGTGTTCATGCCACGTTTGGTCCAGATCTATCATTGTTTGAGTCCACAGTGCTCTCTGGAGGTAGATGAACTACAACTCTCAAAACTCAAGGTCAATGCCCATCAAACCCTTCCAGTATATTCTGTAGTTCATGGGAATTTGTGTGCCAAGTTTGGTTCCATTCCATAATTGGTGGAGTTCAGAATACTCTTTGATTGTAGGTGAACTATAAATCACAGCAACTACAACTCCCAAATGCCAAGGTTGATTTCCCCTAAACTCTACCAGTGTTCACATTTGGGAGGATTGAGTATTCATTCCAAGTTTGGTCCAGACCCATCATTGTTTGAGTCCACAGTGCTTCCTGGGTGTAGGTGAACTACAACTCCAAAACTCAAGGTCAATGCCCACCAAACCCTTCCAGTATTTTCATGTGAGTTCGGTGTGCCAGGTGTGGTTCAATTTCATCATTAGAGTTCAGAATACTCTTTCATTGTAGGTGAACTATAAATCTCAGAAACCACAACTCCCAAATGTCAAGGTCTATTTCCCCCAAACTCCACCAATGTTCACGTTTGGGACGATTGAGTATTCATGCCAAGTTTGGTCCAGATCCATCATTGTCTGAGTCCACAGTATTCTCTGGATGTAGGTGAACTACAACTCCAGAACCCAAGGTCAATGCCCACCAAACCCTTCCAGTATTTACTGTTGGTCATGGCAGTTCTGTGTGCCAAGTTTGGTTCCATTCCATCATTGGTGGTGTTCAGAATGTTCTTGGATTGTAGGTGAACTATAAATCCTAGCAACTACAACTCCCAAATGTCAAGGTCTATTTTCCCCAAACTCCACAGTATTAAAATTGGGGGGAGGGGGGGGGATTGGGTATTTGTGCCAAATTTGGTCCAGTCAATGAAAATACATCCTGCATATTGAATATTTACATTATAATTCACAACGGTAGCAAAATGACTTTATGTTTATTTTATGTTTGGGGGTCACCACAACATGAGAAACAGTATTAAGGGGTCTTGGCATTACGAAGGCTGAGAAACACTGAGTTAGAATTTTTAAAAATCATTACTGAGCGGGATTTGTAAATTACACCGGGTAACAAAATCTGAAAATAAATGTCTGTCCCTGGTTCAAAAGCGTAATTTCCTGTTCAATTGCACGGTCCTTACTTTGAAAGTGGTTGCGCAGTGGTTTGCAACCTTTGGGCCTCCAGGAGTTTTGGACTTCAGTTCCCACAATTCCTAACAACTGGGATTTCTGGGAGTTGAAGTCCAAAACACCTGGAGGCCCAAAACTTGGGCAACTACTGTGCTAGTGGCTAACCTAGCAGAATTCCTCTTGGGTTATGTTGCCACTGGTGAGGCTCTTTCCACACTGCCAAATAATCCACATTATCAAATCAGATAATCCACGTTATCTGCTTTGGACTGGATTATATGAGCCTACACTGCCATAAAATCCAGTGCAGAGCAGATAATCTGGGTTTTATAATACAGTGTGGAAGAGGCCCCAGAGTGATGGCACCAAGTGGTCATATGATGCTCTTGGGACTCCAGCTCCCATCACTCCTTGCAGACTCCTCACTGGCTATGCAAGGGAAAAGCAGGCCATAAGGCTATGGGATTTGGACCCAGAGAGTTGAGAAAGATCGATAGTTACTTGTCAAAATCAGCCAGGTGTCCCGGGTTGACGTAGTCGGTCACTTTCAGGGTCAAATCTGCCACTTTCTGGGATTTGGGCTCCTGAAAGGGGAAGGAAAGAAGATGGTTTGGGGTGGGACACAACATTGGTGGGCAGGACTCACTGCATGGAGAAAGACTACAGGGCTTGCAAAGCACTCAGCCACGGCAATTAGAAGTGGGGGCAAACTGCATTCATTCCACAATATAGATGCACCCTAAGGCATAGATTCAAAGCAGAGAAGAAAATCTGTGTTGACATTAGGAAGATATTCCTAATGACAGCTGGGTTGCTGTAGGTTTTTTCGGGCTATATGGCCATGTTCTAGAGGCATTCTCCCCTGACGTTTCGCCTGCATCTATGGCAAGCATCCTCAGAGGTAGTGAGGTCTGTTGGAACTAGGAACTAGGGTTTATATATCTGTGGAATGCAGGCGACATGTCAGGAGAGAATGCTTCTAGAACAGGGGTCGGGAACCTTTGGCCCTCCAGCTGTGGTGGACTTCAACTCCCACAATTCCTTGAGGCTCGGCATTCGCCCCAAAGGCTTACCTTGGCCCAACGAGGTTTGTTTGGCTCTTTTTCATGGAGGACGGGCAGCAAAGGGGGAGAGACGAGCGTAACGTAGCTGTGCAGATGGCGAGGAAGGATGCGGAGCCCACAGACTGGCCTCGGAGGGAGAGAGCGGGCGGAAACCCCTGCGGGCAACGCGCTTCCTCGCCGCTTCGGCCCTTAGCACCCGCCCCGCATGGACCCCCTCCCTAGCAACGACGCCGGCTGAGTGACGTCGTGCAGAGCTTGTCGGGGAAAAGGGAAGGCGAAGGCTGGAGGGAAAGGGCTCTGCGCTGTTTAAGCGGCGAGGAGGCGCGTTGCCCGCAGGGGTTTCCGCCCGCTCTCTCCCTCCGAGGCCAGTCTGTAGGCTCCGCATCCTTCCTCGCCATCTGCACAGCTACGTTACGCTCGTCTCTCCCCCTTTGCTGCCCGTCCTCCATGAAAAAGAGCCAAACAAACCTCGTTGGGCCAAGGTAAGCCTTTGGGGCGAATGCCGAGCCTCAAGGAATTGTGGGAGTTGAAGTCCACCACAGCTGGAGGGCCAAAGGTTCCCGACCCCTGCTCTAGACCATGGCCATATAGCCCGAAAAAACCTACAACAACCCAGTGATTCCGGCCATGAAAGCCTTCGACAACACATTAGTTTGACAGTTGTTTATAACGCTATTGTCTTCCCAATCCTGCTATATGCATCTGAGACGTGGGCTGTCTACAGATGTCACATGCAACTCCTGGAAGGATTCCATCAGCGCTGCCTCCGGAAATTCTGCAAATCTCTTGGGAAGACAAGTGAAATGTCAGCATGCTGGAAGAAGCAAAGACCACCAGCATTGAAGCAATGGTCCTCCGCCATCAACTCCATTGGACCGGCCACATTGTCTGGATGCCCGACCACCGTCTCCCAAAGCAGTTGCTCTACTCCAAACTCAAAAACGGAAAATGGTGAAATATCCCTTCTTGCAGTTTGAAGCAATTGCTTCGTGTCCTAGTCTCCAGGGCAGCAGAAAACAAGCTTGCTCCCACCTCCCTATGACTTCCTCTCACATATTTATACATGGCCCTCATCATACATGGCCCTCATCATGTCTCCTCTCAGCCTTCTCTTCTTCAGGCTAAACGTGCCCAGCTCTTTAAGCCACTCCTCATAGGGCTTGTTCTCTAGACCTTTGATCATTTTAATCGCCCTCCTCTGGACACATTCCAGCTTGTCAACATCTCTTGTTGTGGTGCCCAGAACTGGAAACAGTATTCCAGGCGGGGTCTAATCAAGGCAGAATAGAGGAATATTCCCGACAGATGGCCATCCAGCCTCCAAAGAGCCCCCCCCCCTCTTCTGGACTGCAATTTCTAAGCAATCATAGAGTTGGAAGAGACCTCGTGGGGCATCCAGTCCAACCCCATTCTGCCAAGAAGCAGGAAAATTGCATTCAAAGCACCCCGACAGATGGCCATCCAGCCTCTGCTTAAAAGCCTCCCAAGAAGGAGCCTCCACCACACTCCAGGGCGGAGAGTTCCACTGCTGAATAGCTCACAGTCAGGAAGCTCTTCCGAATGTTCAGATGGAATCTCTTTTCTTGTAGTTTGAAGCCATTGTTCTGCATCCTAGTCACCAGGGCAGCAGAAAACAAGTTTGCTCCCTCCTCCCTTTGACTTTCTCTCACGTATTTATACATGACTATCATGTCTCCTCTCAGACTTCTCTTCTTCAGGCTAAACATGCCCAGCTCTTTAAGCTGCTCCTCATAGGGCTTGTTCTCCAGACCCTTGGTCATTTTAGTCGCCCTCCTCTGGACACATTCCAGCTTGTCAACCCTATGACTTCCTCTCACATGTTTATACATGGCTATCATGTCTCCTTGCTTCAAACAGACAAGGGTTGTTTATTTCTCCCACCCTGGACATTATTTCAAAGGCATATATACACTCCACTTGGGTCACTTCCAGCAAAGCTGAGGATGTAGGCGAAATGTCAGGAGAGAATGCTACTAGAAAATCGCCATACAGCAACCTAATAGAATCTGGGAGGGCTTTAATGGTGTCCCGCTGCGTAGTTTGATTGAATGGCCCTTGGGGGTCCCTTGATGTCTTTGGGAAAGAGGAGGAATGGGCACCAACGCCACCCCTCCTTGGGCTCGTAAGTGGACTCACCATGACGTTGAGGATGATGCTGCCGTCCACCATGATGCCCTTCAGGAGCAGGTCGCGGGAGTCGTCCTTGGCCCGGTAGCGCATGGTGTAGAGCTCCTTGTCTGCGTTCCACCCGGGAGGCAACATCTCCGACTTCCGCTCATTGGCACCTGGCTGGGCAATGAGAGAGAGAGAGAGAGATGACACTTTTGCTGGGCTGCACCATGTCAAGTGGGACCCAAAGCGGATCACAACATTTCAAAACAATACAGATTCACCGTACACATTGCAACGGAGAGAATCGGCCGTTGTCTAGGGGATGCCTGGATGTGTTATAACCCTGTGGGAAGGCTTCTCTCATGTCCCCAACCACACACTATCATGTGAAAGCTTACTGGCACAACCTGGGGATCACAACCAGACACAGTGAAGACATAGAAGCAAAGAGTTGGAAGAGACCTCATGAGCCATCCAGTCCAACCCCATTCTGCCAAGAAGCAGGAATATTGCATTCAAATCACCCCTGACAGATGGCCATCCAGCCTCTGTTTAAAAGCTTCCAAAGAAGGAGCCTCCACCACACTCCGGGGCAGAGAGTTCCACTGCTGAACCGCTTCCACAGTCAGGAAGTTCTTCCTCATGTTCAGATCCGCCCTTGCGCTTTGCTACTCTGCTGCCGAGAGTGGAACACGTCTCACCACACGAAAACAGTGGATGTGGCTCTTAATGAGACATGCCGCATTATCACAGGGTGTCTGTGCCCTACACCACTGGAAAAATTACACTGTTTAGCCAGTATTGCACGACCTGACATCCACTGGGATGTATCAGCCAATAACGAAAGGCCCAAGGCAGTGACACTGTCTGTTCGGATATCAGCCAACACCTTAAATCAATAAATAGTTTTCTAAGATCTACAGAGACACTCGCTGGAACACCTCAGCAAGCAAGAGTCCAAAAGTGGCAGGCTCAAACTCAGAACCTCAATCCATGGCTGATACGAAATGAGGGACTCTCCCCTGGGCACACCAAAAACTAGGCGACTTGGAAAGCGCTGAATAGACTGCGCTCTGGCACCACGAGATGCAGAGCCAATATCAAGAAATGGGGCACAAAGTGGAGTCCCTGACATGCGAGTGTGGAGGAGAGCAAATCACAGACCACCTATTACAATGCAGCCTGAGCCCTGCCACATGCACAATGGAGGACCTTCTCAACGCGACACCAGAGGCACTCCAAGTGGCCATTTAGTATGATGCCCAGTTTTTTAAACTTTGTGTTTTTTCAAAGACATTGGTTAGCTCCTGATACCATAAATATCAATAAATAAATCTATCTAAATAAAAATGTAATGTTCGTTTGTGGGGTTAACATAACTCAAAAACCACTGTACGAACTGACACCAAATTTGGACACAATACACCTAAAAACCCGATGTATGTCCTTCACTCAACAAATTGATTTTGTAATTTGGGAGTTGTAGTTGCTGGGATTTATAGTTCACCTACAATCAAAGAGCATTCTGAACTCCAGCAATGATGGATCTGGACCAATCTTAGCACATAGGGCTCCCATGACCAACAGAAAAAACTGGAAAGGTTTGGCAGACATTGACCTTGAGAATTATAGTTTACCCACATCCAGAGAGCACTGTGGACTCAAAAAATGATGGATCTGGACCAAACTTGGCACCAATATTCCATATGCCCAAATATGAACACAGATGGAGTTTAAGGGAAATAGACCTTGACATTTGGGAGTTGTAGTTGCTGGGATTTATAGTTCACCTACAATCAAAGAGCATTCTGAACTCCACCAATGATGGAATTGAACCAAACATGGCATACAGGACTTCCATGACCAACAGAACACACTGGAAGGGTTTGGTGGGCATTGACCTTGAGTTTGGGAGTTGTAGTTCACCTACATCCAGAGAGCACTGTGGACTCAAACAATGATGGATCTGACCAAACTTGGCACGAAACATATACCCAAATATGAACAGATGCAATTTGGGGGAAATAGACCTTGACATTTGGGATTTCTAGTCTATATAAATAAAAATCTAATGTTCGTTTGTGGGATTAACATAACTCAAAAACCACTGGGCGAACTGACACCAAATTTGGACACAAGACACCTCTCAGGCCAATGAGTGACCATCACTCATAAAAATACTGGAAAACACAGGAGAAGAGACTTTAAAAGACAAAAAAATCTATACATGTTTACAACATTCTTTACAGAATCATAGAATCAAAGAGTTGGAAGAGACCTCCTGGGCCATCCAGTCCACCCCATTCTGCCAAGAAGCAGGAATATTGCATTCAAATCACCCCTGACAGATGGCCATCCAGCCTCTGTTTAAAAGCTTCCAAAGAAGGAGCCTCCACCACACTCAGGGCAGAGAGTTCCACTGCTGAACGGCTCTCACAGTCAGGAAGTTCTTCCTCATGTTCAGATGGAATCTCCTTTCTTTAGTTTGAAGCCATTGTTCCATTGCGTTCTAGTCTCCAAGGAAGGAAAAAACAAGCTTGCTCCCTCCTCCCTGTGGCTTCCTCTCACATATTTATATACGGCTATCATATCTGCAGGAGCCCCCAGTGGCGCAGTGGGTTAAAGCACTGAGCTGCTGAGCTTGTTGATTGAAAGGTCGCAGGTTCGATTCCGGGGAGCGGCGTGAGCTTCCCCTGTCAGCCCTAGCTTCTGCCAACCTAGCAGTTCGAAAACATGCAAATGTGAGTAGATCAATAGGTACCGCTCCGGCGGGAAGGTAACGGCGCTCCATGCAGTCATGCCGGCCACATGACCTTGGAGGTGTCTACGGACAATGCTGGCTCTTCGGCTTAGAAATGGAGATGAGCACCACACCCCAGAGTCAGACATGACTGGACTTAATGTCAGGGGACTACCTTTACCTTTACCTTTATCATATCTCCTCTCAGCCTTCTCTTCTTCAGGCTAAACATGCCCAGCTCCTTAAGCCGCTCCTCATAGGGCTTGTTCTCCAGACCCTTGATCATTTTAGTCGCCCTCCTCTGGACACATTCCAGCTTGTCAATATCTCTCTTTAATTGTGGTGCCCAGAATTGGACACAATATTCCATTATCATACGCACGCACATATATATGCAAAACACACATACACAAACTGGGCCACAGCAATGTGTGGCAGGGGATGGCTAGTAAACAATTAAACAAAACAACTTTGCAATGAAGCAAAACATAAACAATGAAACATAAGAATGCATAACACTTGAGTCATGTCAGTCTACTCTTGTCCTAAGCATTTTGGCCAACTTGCAGGCATGCTTCCCTTCTGTTGGGTTGCTTCTGGGTCTGGGTGGGGTGCACTCCACTTTTGGAGGTGCTTTGCAAGGAGAATTTGGGGGTGCCCCCCCTCCCCAAATTCTCACCTGGTCTCCTGTCCCCAGGCAGCGGTAGCCATGGCTGATGAGCTTCCAGTGCAAGTAGCAGACCAAGGCGTCCTGCGGGCAGGAAAGGTCCGGCGACACCGAGGAGAAGAGCAGCTCCAGGCCGGCCATCGCGCTGCTGCCGCCGCCCCAGCCGCCTGACACGCGTCACGTGGGAAAGGGAAGACACGCGTCAGCAGGGAAAGCGTGCAAGAGGGGAAGAACAATGCAGCAGGAGGAAGGAATGCAACAGCAGCAAAGGAGGGAAGGCTGGGCTGCTTGCAATGCAAGTTGCTGCGATGGTGCCTGAAAGTGAAAGTGGCCCAGGAGGAGGAGAGGAAACAGGAGATGCCCGGGGAGGCCCGCCCCCTTGTGCAAGGAAACAAACAGCCCATCGCTTTGGTTCCGGGAGGATTGCATTTCCCTGAGCAATCCAATGCAAAATAATACACATAAAATAAAACAAAATGCAAAGGTCCAGCAAATGCAAAAAAAGTTTTAAAGTAAAATGCAATGCAAAAACAAGAGTGCTTGCAAAATAAAATGCTATGGTTAATAAAATGCAAAATAAAAACAAAAGAAAACAAAATGCAAAGGTCCATCACATGCAAAAATAGGTTTTAAGTAAAAGGCAATGCAAAATGCAATGCTATGGTTAATAAAATGCAAAATAAAAGCAAAGCAAAACAAAATGCAAAGGTCCATCACATGCAAAAATAGGTTTTAAGTAAAAGGCAATGCAAAATGCAATGCTATGGTTAATAAAATGCAAAATAAAAGCAAAACAAAACAAAATGCAAAGGTCCATCACATGCAAAAATAGGTTTTAAGTAAAAGGCAATGCAAAATGCAATGCTATGGTTAATAAAATGCAAAATAAAAGCAAAGCAAAACAAAATGCAAAGGTTCATCACATGCAAAAATAGGTTTTAAGTAAAAGGCAATGCAAAATGCAATGCTATGGTTAATAAAATGCAAAATAAAAGCAAAACAAAACAAAATGCAAAGGTCCATCACATGCAAAAATAGGTTTTAAGTAAAAGGCAATGCAAAATGCAATGCTATGGTTAATAAAATGCAAAATAAAAGCAAAACAAAACAAAATGCAAAGGTCCATCACATGCAAAAATAGGTTTTAAGTAAAAGGCAATGCAAAATGCAATGCTATGGTTAATAAAATGCAAAATAAAAGCAAAACAAAACAAAATGCAAAGGTTCATCACATGCAAAAATAGGTTTTAAGTAAAAGGCAATGCAAAATGCAATGCTATGGTTAATAAAATGCAAAATAAAAGCAAAACAAAACAAAATGCAAAGGTCCATCACATGCAAAAATAGGTTTTAAGTAAAAGGCAATGCAAAATGCAATGCTATGGTTAATAAAATGCAAAATAAAAGCAAAACAAAACAAAATGCAAAGGTCCATCACATGCAAAAATAGGTTTTAAGTAAAAGGCAATGCAAAATGCAATGCTATGGTTAATAAAATGCAAAATAAAAGCAAAACAAAACAAAATGGAAAGGTCCATCACATGCAAAAATAGGTTTTAAGTAAAAGGCAATGCAAAATGCAATGCTATGGTTAATAAAATGCAAAATAAAAGCAAAACAAAACAAAATGGAAAGGTCCATCACATGCAAAAATAGGTTTTAAGTAAAAGGCAATGCAAAATGCAATGCTATGGTTAATAAAATGCAAAATAAAAGCAAAACAAAACAAAATGCAAAGGTTCATCACATGCAAAAATAGGTTTTAAGTAAAAGGCAATGCAAAATGCAATGCTATGGTTAATAAAATGCAAAATAAAAGCAAAACAAAACAAAATGCAAAGGTCCATCACATGCAAAAATAGGTTTTAAGTAAAAGGCAATGCAAAATGCAATGCTATGGTTAATAAAATGCAAAATAAAAGCAAAACAAAACAAAATGCAAAGGTCCATCACATGCAAAAATAGGTTTTAAGTAAAAGGCAATGCAAAATGCAATGCTATGGTTAATAAAATGCAAAATAAAAGCAAAACAAAATGCAAAGGTCTATTACATGCAATAATAGGTTTTAAGTAAAATGCAAAAAAAAAGAGTGCTTACTAAATAAAATGCCATGGTTAATAAAATACAAAATAAAAACAAAGTGCAAAGGTTCATGAAATCCAAATAGCAAGGTTATTATTTACCTGTTGTTGTTGTGTTTTGCATTTGATGAACCTTTGCACTTTGTTTTATTTTGCATACTATTAACCTTGGCATTTTATTTACCTTTTGTTGTTGTGTTTTGCATTTCAACAAAAGGTAAATAAAATGCCAAGGTTAATAGTATGCAAAATAAAACAAAGTGCAAAGGTTCACCAAATGCAAAACACAACAACAAAAGGTAAATAAAATGCCAAGGTTAATAATATACAAAATAAAACAAAGTGCAAAGGTTCATCCAATGCAAAACACAACAACAACAAAAGGTAAATAAAATGCCAAGGTTAATAATATGCAAAATAAAACAAAGTGCAAAGGTTCATCAAATGCAAAACACAACAACAACAAAAGGTAAATAAAATGCCAAGGTTAATAATTTGCAAAATAAAACAAAGTGCAAAGGTTCATCCAATGCAAAACACAACAACAACAAAAGGTAAATAAAATGCCAAGGTTAATAATATGCAAAATAAAACAAAGTGCAAAGGTTCATCCAATGCAAAACACAACAACAACAAAAGGTAAATAAAATGCCAAGGTTAATAATATGCAAAATAAAACAAAGTGCAAAGGTTCATCCAATGCAAAACACAACAACAACAAAAGGTAAATAAAATGCCAAGGTTAATAATATGCACAATAAAACAAAATGCAAAGGTTCATCCAATGCAAAACACAACAACAACAACAAATGGTAATTAAATGCTAAGATTAATAATATGCAAAATAAAAACAAAATGCAAAGGTTCATCCAATGTAAAACACAACAACAACAAAAGGTAAATAAAATGCCAAGGTTAATAATAAGGTTGTTAATAACGATATGGTTGTTAAGTAAAATGCCATGGTTAATAAACTGCAATAGAATGGTTGGTTCAGTAAAATGTAATAATAATAAAAGGCAAAGAGAAAGAGAGATGTTGGGGAGAGGTTTATTAAAAGTAAAATGCGTATTGTTTTATTATGGGGAGGGAGGCCACAAGGGGGCGCTAAGAGAGAAGAATAGTCCATTTTATGGGGGTGAAGGGTTGGCTGAAGGAGGAAAACCATTTCCCCCATTTTTACTGAGCTCTGAGGATTACCTGGGAAAGAATCCCACTGGAGCATTGCAGCGCATCCAAATACCTGGGAGTCACTCTGGACCGTGTTCTGACCTACAAGAAGCACTGCCTGAACATCAAGCAAAAAGTGGGTGCTAGAAACAATATCATACGAAAGGTGACTGGCACAACCTGGGGATCACAACCAGACACAGCGAAGACATCTGCCCTTGTGCTGAGCTACTCTGCTGCTGAGTATGCATGCCCAGTGTGGAACACATCTCACCACACTAAAACAGTGGATGTGGCTCTTAATGAGACATGCCGCATTATCACGGGGTGCCTGCGCCCTACACCACTGGAGAAATTACACTGCTTAGCCGGTATTGCACCACCTGACATCCGCCGGGAAGTAGCAGCCAATAGTGAAAGGACCAAGGCAGTGACATCTCCAGCTCATCCCCTGCTTGGGTATCAGCCAATGACTTAAATCAAAAAATAGTTTTGTTCTGTCGCGCGCTGGGCTTGTAAAGAATTTCTTTTAGAACAGGACGTGCAACCTTTGCCCAGCGGGAAGCCAGGGGGCCCAAAGAGAAGTTCTCAGAGGTTTTCCACCACAAATGATCTTTAGATGGCTTGTGAAGTATAACAAAGTCTTTTATTAATGAACAATCAAACAGAAACTTCTCTTGTCTTCAGAAAGATAAACAAATGATTCCAGGCTTTTATGCAACTGGTAGCTTCCTAAACTTGCCCACGAAGGACAGGCAACTGTCTTCAATAACTTCTTCTTTACTTTAAAGGAAAATCCCCTTTTTAACTTCTCCCAGGCTGACTGTAATCTAACCCTTACTGATGTGGGCTCCGCTACCGGGTCGAACTGCTTCTCAAACACCGAGTGGACCTACCAGTAAAGGCTTAGATGTTCTCCAGCTGGAGTTCTTTGGTCTTTAGGGCTGTTTCCCTGGAAAGTCTTTGGAGACTCTTAAGACTGTTCTCCCCCGGAAATTCTTAAGGGTTGAAGCTTTTGTACAGGGGAAGCTTGCACACGTCCTGTACATTAGCTTTCCTTGCTGAGACTAACTAAAAATGGCTTCCTTCCCTTCCCAATTGCCCTGAGCAAGGGGCGGGACCAAAACTTAACAATGATGGACAGGTGACTTGCCCTACGACTGCAACCAAAGGAAGCCACCTTCTGCAGAGTCCCTGAAACCTTGGACTGCAAGCAAACACTCAATACAAAGTAAATAAATTTGGAGCTCCTGGTACAGCCGTACCACACAAGTTTTCTAAGATCTACAGAGACACTCGCAGGAACACCTCAGCAAGCGAGAGTCCAAAAGTGGCAGGCTCAAACCCAGAACCTCAATAAGTGGCTGAGACCAGATGAGAAACCCCCTTCTGGGCACACAGAAGACTGGACAACTTGGAAGGTGCTGAATAGACTGCACTCTGGCACCACGAGATGCAGAGCCAACCTTAAGAAATGGGGCCACAAAGTGGAGTCCACGACATGCAAGTGTGGAGAAGAGCAAACCACAGACCACCTATTACAATGCAGCCTGAGCCCTGCCCCATGCACAATGGAGGACCTTCTTATAGTAACACCAGAAGCAGTCCAAGTGGCCAGCTTCTGGTCAAAGGACATTTAATAGAATGCTAAGTTTGCAAACTTTGTGTTTTGTTTGTTTGTTTGAAATGCAATACAACGGTTTGGTTCGCTCCTGACACTATAAATAAATAAGTAAGTAAATACTGGCTATTCCCCCTCACCAATTCCCATTTTATAAACGAGAAATGGGTGGGAGGAATAACAGGAAAACAGGGGTTTCCCCCCATCAACCCACCCTCCATCCCCATAAATATACTATCCTTCTCTCTTTAGCACCCCCTGATCCGTCCCTCCCCTCCCCCACCTCCCCGCCGTCCTTTTCCCCCTCCCCCCCCCCCCCTTCCCTCCCTGCCTCTCCTTCTTCTTTCCCCCCCCCCCCCCCCCCCCCCCCCCCCCCCCCCCCCCCCCCCCCCCCCCCCCCCCCCCCCCCCCCCCCCCCCCCCCCCCCCCCCCCCCCCCCCCCCCCCCCCCCCCCCCCCCCCCCCCCCCCCCCCCCCCCCCCCCCCCCCCTCCCCC